TGGTTATTTTTCTTCTCCTCAGTCCTCCTTAGGTGTGCTGTGTGCTGAAAAGTTTGCTGCTCATTGTGCAGCTCAGTGTGTTGAAAAGCCAGCAAGGGCTAAAACCACACATGACTGTGCTAACTTGCAGCTGGGTGGAAGAGAAGGACCGTGTTTTGTTAGAATTGCATCAGATAGTTAGCAAAGAAGATTTTAATTACTGAAATGCTGAGCAGCCACTGGGGCAACTGTCCACACTTGTCAAAGTACTGTGGAGTCAACTGGCCCCTAATGATGAGGATGTACGTCTGGGTTAAAAATTACCACCACCGCCATAGTGCTCTGTAATTGCAGCTGGATTTGCTTGGTAACTACTCAGGGTTGGCTTGCTACCTGCCTCGCATACCTTTGTACTGAGTCTATGCTGATTACTGGTGGACTTCAAGGATTCCTGTCCTGATAGTGCTTAGTTTGTGAAATGTGGTAAGGTTCAAAATTTACAATGCTTTATGTATAGCTTCTGGTCTTTTGCTGGTCAGCTACAAATACCATATCCCTGCTGAAAGGTGACTTCCTTGAGAGTTGTCAGAAGTTACTAACTTAACTCTTCTCCAGAAGGACTATGTACCATAGATTATTTTTTTCTATAATATTACTGAATCATTTGGCTTTTTATGATGTGTTACATTTGCTGAACAATGACTGGTGCCTCATTTCACTTTTACAGTGTTGCATTTAACAGTTTTTAACAGCTTCTATTCCTTTACCCAATTCAGTTTGTAAATAAATGTTTCATTCCTTGGTGGAGGAAAGCTAGTTTGCATTGGAACCATACCGAGCTTTTTGCACCTCTCTCCAACTGTGATACCACCCAGCCACCTGCAGATCAGCTGCCTGGAATATACAAATTGCAGGTGGGTCAGAGGTATTTGGTGCTGTGTGGAGCTTAGATCAGAGGGATTGCCACAGCCACACATCTGGAGTTCATTCAGAGCAACTTCAGCAAACCAGGAGGTCTGTGGTCTGAGGATACAGTGCCACGTCCAGAAGCCAGCTTTGTTCAGCTTCCTCCTCTTACGTTTCAAGACAGATTGCTGGCCCTTGGCCTTGATCAAAAGTTTTGAATATACAACTCCAAATTTTTTTTATTTGTATTGGAGATGAATTTTGTTGTGAGACTCCCTTCATATGAAGTTCTGCATGACAAAAACGTAGGATTTAAACCAAAGATCGTGGTGTAACTGAAATGTTTCAGAAATTAAATCTGTTGCAGGACTGTATGCTGTTAAAGGATTTGAGTCAGATTCTTTTAAATTTCCTGTGTTCTCCTTACTCAAAAAAGTATAATTTTTGAATGCTTTGAGCGTACTCTGTTTCTAAAGACAAGCAAGTCTTTTGACAAGTTTCATTTATGTAAATTTGCATGATTTTCTTTCACTTTGTTGTAGTTTGGGTGGAACTTTCTTGTTGCTTAAATTAATGGGGTGATACTTAAATGAGTATTTTTATCCTGCTGGTCCTCTGAAAGGCACACAGAGAAATAACACAGGGTGTGATCTCTTCTAGTGCTAGAGTAAATCTAAGCATCGTGTGCTTGCCTTCAGGGGGCAGCACAGGTTGGCAAAAGATTCAGAGGGTTCTTCCTCCCTCAACCTCCGGTGAAGGCAAAAAGGTCATGCCCCTCGGTTCAGATCCGTCAGACTGCTGCTTCCTGCTCTCTCCCTGCCACCGATGTGTATCTTTATATTCCTTCTAAAGAGGGTCATCTCCACTATTTGAAGAACTCCATGCTCGATTAAAAAGTCCATCAGGATCAGATGCACTCACAAATGGACACTTCACCCTGCACCGTTTCCTGTCCCTCCAAAGCAGACCCAAGGCAAAACCATCTATTTGTTCTCAGAATGATGTATGCAGTGTTCACATAGGATTGGCAGTGCTGCTTTCAGCAAGCAGAACCCAGTCTCCTTGTGAAACTGCTTCAAAAGCAGCACTGATGACAGAATGAAATTTAAAAAATTGTGAAGCACATTTTGTCATTTTCTGGCTTTTGAGTATCATTTTGAGTATCATTTTGAGTACATTTTGAAGCTCACTGAAGGGCAAGAATGGGTAAGAATGGGGGTATGGTGGCGTATTTATTTACCTTCAGAGTGTAGAGCTTTAAGGAAATACCAAATATTACAGTGTCACTAGAAAAACCGGGATGAGATTTGAATCCCATCAGATAACAGTTGCTTCCACTATAAGAAGCACCATCAAAGTCCACCATACCATGATCTCTTTTTTTCACATATAAGATGTCCCAATAAAAAATAATGCAGGCCATGAGAAAGGCTATGCCATAGCCTGTGTTGGGAAATTCAGTACACATGAGAAACAACTTGTCTTGCTGTGAGTTGTTTCTCCCAATAGTAACATGCCAAAGTCATGATATGGATAGCCAGACCAGAAATATCAATTAAACAATTCCCCCAATTAGTTCTATCACAGGTTTTTTTGAAAACTATCTAATGAATATTGTTTCCATTATTTAGCTTGTTTGACTCTCACAGATAAAAAGTTGGATGATAGAGTTGCTAAAGAGTTGTCCAGACTTCTATATTATTTATGCAAAATAATTACTTGTGTTTTAGTCTTCTTGTCTTGTTTTCCATGCACAAAGTGTTTAAACCCTCAGTTGATCTCTGGACTTCATTTTCTCCCTTTTCTGTTAGTGTTTTCTCTTGTGTTGAGAGAAATGTTCTTGGCCAAAATGACTGTCTTATCATTTTCCATGAAATGACTTAAAAATAAAACTGTTTATTACAAGCTGGTTGTTTGAATTTCTGTTTATCCTGAAGATACAACATTTTCTGGCCACTGCACATGTTCAACATGTCTCCAGAAAGGCTGAGCTCACTCTCCTGGGTTTTGTCTGTGGTTTTTTCCTTTCATTGTTACTAAGTAGTCAGGGATTGCATAGGCCACTTAATGAAAATTGATAAGAATATGCATTCAGCTGGTACCATAAGATGACGTGATAGAACTAGAGGTTCATTACAGTTAAAAAAAAAAAAAAAAAAAAAAAGATTCTGATTTTAATTGCACCATTTTGTCTCAGTAGGTTCAACTGAACTGCACTGGTCTAATGAACCACAATAAAAATAAAAAAATGAAAATGAAAAAAAAACTTCCATCTTGATCAGGTTTAAGTACTTTACCAAGATTTTGGTCATATATAGATACATGCAAACATTTAACAGTGAAAGTCTTAACTCATCTGTGTAAATTTATCTCAAGTATAAGGTGATGTAAAACCCTCCTTATCCACATTATGGTATTTACTTTCTAGAATGAGCAACTCACTGTATGAATCACAAAAAGCAGCCAAATGGTGGTGGTGGGTGGTGGTTTTTCTCCTTAAATTACCGAAAGCAAAGGGCTTTCCTAAAGAGTCTCTGTAAGCAATAGTACAAAGTCTGGCTTACTCATCAGAGCACAGTGAGCAAATATTGCTCAGAGTTTTGGACTGTTATAAAGCCTGATCTTCTTAGAAAAGGCCAAAATGGAGACTGAAGTCCAGCTGCTGTAATCTTCCACTCAAAGACATTCCCATGTTGCCTTTTCAAAACAGTAGCCAGTTGCAAATTGTTTTTGGACAGGGAAGTTCATGTTCAAGTACTTACTGATCCACTCCGAGGAAATTTAACTGCAGTGAGCTAAGCTTTTAATGTTGCAGTTCCCCAGGGTAATTTAAACCAAATATATGTATAATGTATTTTTTTATACTGTGGGTGTGGATTTTTGACTGCTGCTTAGCTAAGAGTAAGACTAAGTTCCTGGTTTTATATTGAGACTTCCGATGTGATAATCGCTCATCTTATAGGTGGTGTCTTTAACTCATTAAAATTATATTTGCTACCTTTTTCCTTGGTTAAATCATCTCATACTGAAGATTACCATGCTTGGAACTTAGTGAGACCTGTGTTCATTCAGTAGTTCTAGAAACAAAATTCTTCTCAAGAGCTAGTTGAAGCAGTGTGTGAAATGTGAATAAAGTTGGCATGCCAGTTTTCTGTGTAGGAGCCAGCCCTTCTCAGCTCTGACAGGAGCACAGGGAAAAAAGAGTGTTAAGAAAAAACACAACCACCTTACTGTGGGACATGAATTGTGGGAGGGGAGTACTGGCTGGGCTTTTGTAAATGCTTGAATGTGAAGCTGATTTTATTGAGATTCTTATTGCTGGATTTTATTTTCTGCATATAGTCTAGAAAACCAAATTTATCTCTGTAATAGATAAAACAGAGACCAAAGCAATAAATCCAGACATCAGTCTTCTCATAAAGCTACGCTAATTTGTACTATTATGCAAGGTTTTATCTTTCTTCTGATCTGGTAATTGCTGCCCTAAAAGCCTGCAGGAATCATATATCTTGCATGCATTGACTGAGTTTAAGCAAATAAAGATAAGGATGTAATTACAGTGGAGTTTTTGAGCCTTCCTTGGGCAAAACCCATTTATGGCAGCAGCAGTTTTATTTACTAAAAAGCTGAAGACAAAGGCGCAGAAACCCAGAACTAACGCAACGTCCAGCTGTTCCAAAATTTTACATGGGTTTTGTGCTATTATTTGTCTCATGTATTGCTTTTCAAAGCATTGGGTTTTCAAAGCATTCAGCTCAGAAAGGGTTACATTCGCAACACTCTGCAATACACTCTTCCCCTTACAAACCTACCAGAGCCTTTGCTACCAGGGTATTGCACGCACATCCAGACCAAGCGTTTGTGCCATTTCATAATGAAGGTGACTCTCTCCCTGTTCCCTGTGGGGTAAGCAGCTCAAGTTACACTTCCAGAGGAAGCTAATGGTTCATGCAATCACCTCTTCTATTGACTCGTTTGTTTTTTGGTATTTTCACGTACTCTGAGCAAGCCAAGGACTTCACACAGTTGGCCACAGCTGCTGCACCATTGATTTTCTCTGGAAGTAGCCTTCAGGTAGACAGTTATTTTTGTACTCTGAAATACAGAAGTTTCCATTTCGAACACAAGTTTAAGGGAATTACTTTTATTTGTTGCTTGAAGAAAAAATTAATATACAGTTTGAAGTTACAGAAATTATTGTGCCCTACTCAGAGCTGAGGTTGTACAAGTAAACGTTACAGTACCCAAGATAAACATGATACAAGCAAATAAGCTCCAGAAATAAACACAGAACACTACAGTATATAATTATATTGGCTCACAGGCACAAGGCTGGTACAGTACAAGAGGCTTGTGTATAAAGAGGTAGCGGAAGTCAGTAAACGTAGAATCCTTGTACATAAAGACATACATCAGATATTTCTTGCAGATTATACCCAGTTATCCTCTGGGGAGGTAAAGTATCTTTTGAGGATGATATAGATTCTGGCCAGAATCTAACATCATATTGACAGCTTCTGAACTTGGAAAAAGGCACCTCAAACATCTGATCCCTGGCACATTTTCACGTTTTCAATAACTAAAATGGCACCAGCCTGTAAATTTTTAAAATCCTCCTCATTCAAAAGCTCTGTTGCAAGTTTTCTGGCTAATGACTGGAAGGGGTTACTTTTGTTTAAATAGCTTAATCCTTTTTCTATTAATAGATGACCATAAACAAATGTTATCTGACCTTCTATTTTGCGACAGAACTGGGTAAACTCAGCTGTTCACAATATGACTTTTGGTGCCTAGAAGTATTTTATTACACTACCTTCATAAAGCAAAACTTTAGGGGAGGAATAGCTTTGCAAGAACATCCTAGTATATGTGTATAAGGAGTGAATGGATTATTAAGGAGTGACTGGTTATTAGAACAGGGGGCTGTTGACACAGAAAAACCCATGTGAGGATGCACACAGAGTTTTCCTGCACTTTAGGAGACACACATTTCTTCCAAGAGTATTTCTGTTTCTACTTCAATTTCAAAAGATTTCCCCTCTCTACTGTCAAGATTTTTCTCATTTCATTAAAGATTATGTCAATCTCGAGATAAATAAATTACACTCCTACATTTCTCTGGAATTGTTTTAATGGGAAAGACAGAATCCCAGTTAAAGTTGCTAGGAACTCTAGACAGGAGCATTAACTTCCTACGTCAAAATCCAACTCATTCAGGAACAAAGTTTGCATTAACAACAGCAGGAGCTACTCTGTAAGTGCTAAGTTCTCTTTTATGGAGAAGCATATCTGCCAAAGAAAAGTATGGTTTGTGTTGGGTTGTGGCGAATAAAGAAAAGGAAAGGATGGTCAGCATTGAAATCCTCTTCCATAATCATGCAGAGCATGGCAATGCCAGCAGTGGCAGCTGCAGCTTCTGTGCCTTCCTCATTCACTTCTACAAAAGCCTTGTGGACAACTTTGGAGAGAAAGAGGTCACGTGCCCCTGACATTCCCGACAAGTCAGCCTTACCACTGTCAAATACATCCAACAAGCCCATAGCAGCTAAATCTGACTTAAGATCATAGCTTTCTTCCAGCTTAAACTTCGGCAAATGCACATTAACATCGGTGGAATAGAGATGTTCTGGACGTGTCCATTCCTGGAGCTTCTCTAAGGTAAGCTGCTTTTCCAGCTAGAATTTAAAAGACAGAGATCATTGCATTTAACCAGTGTAGTATTTAATTTTCAGTAACATTTACAAGGCTTTACTTATAGAACACTATACAGTGGTAAAGCACCTATCCAAAAATGATATCTTTGATACTTACATATAGATCAAACAAATACTATTAAAATTAAGCGGAATCAGTGCAGTTTTTACTTTACAAAGTGATGCAGACATTTGCTTCTTGCTGCAACATACAGAAGGGAGAAAGATGCACTGATAGCAACGCAGTCATTGTTGCTATTGAATCTAACTAAATGTAATTATCTAATTAAAAACAAGTAACAAAAATCATAAGCAGAGAGTTCAAAGAAGCTGATGTGCTCCTGGTCATTTAATGAAAAACAGTCTCACTACTTCATGGCTAAGAAAATAAAGATTTTCAAAGGTAATGAAAGGAAAGTTCTGTCATTAAAAAACAACCAAGGCACGTTTATTTTCACAGCTAACTCTGTTTTCAGCCTCCATCATGGTTCAGTTTAGCAAGCCAGAGGACACATGAACACAAGCTACAAAATCAGAACACAACTTCCCTTCCTGATGCAGCACATGCACATATTCTTTATTGCTGTGCTAGTAGAGACCTGTCTAAATATACACTTGATAAATATAGGGCTCTGAGAACACGGGTTCATTAAGGCTTTAATTTTGAATGGCTGAACTTAAGAACACTGAACAACTGCATTAGCTTAGATGGCTCACCTTCTGCAGTCCAGTAGAGTCATCCTCAATGTTATCAGGTAACAGGATGATCATACTAAGTTCTCTTCCATCGTAAGGCAGCTCTAAAACACGGATCTTCTCTTCAGGAATGTACCCAAAATTAAATTTATTTTTTTGATACATCATTTTCACTGTCTTTCTTTCATTCTGGATAGATAAAAGGTAACAAAAGTAACAGTTAAGGAAGTACTCATTTAAAGAACTAATAGGAAACAAGTAAGTTAAAACTGCATTTTTGCATAAATTTTTCCTCTGTTATATCAGGTGATTATAAAACTGCTTTTGTCAGACTCCTGCCTGCCTGTTTAATAACAGTCTGCTCTGAAGATATAATGAGTTTGTACTATATTTGCTTCTACTTCAGCTTCTATAGTACAGACCTGCAGGAACTGAATCATTTTGTGTGAGTTGCTAGACCATTATATTGCTCTGGACACAAAAATGACCATGTTAAGTAAATAAAGATCAACTCTGTTCAGCATAAAGCAGGTGACTGTATACAGTATCTTGTAAAGTTGTGAACATAACCAGAATATGGAATAAGAAAATTTGGCTTAATCAAAACATGCTATCATTTTAGTAATGCTTACCTATCATCACAAACAGTCACATTTCACAGCTGCTGAACTACAAGAGGACAGAAATTCTGCTAGGTCCTAATCTATAGGTGAGAACTGTCTCTGACACTATTCCAATAAGTGAGACAACAAATGGCTTGCTGAACACAGAAAAACACTGAAATCCATAAAAAAAATCTTTCAGGTGAACTGAAAACACCCATTAAAGACTCTGTATTTCTTAATTATTTTATCTGTAAGCAAAACCTCACTTCAGCACCTGTATCATTTGGCATTTCCATTAGATATACACTACCAAGACATATCTGTATTACCTTACTTAACCGAAAAGGCATGTCAGTGGTGTCAGCTTCTTTAAATTTCTCTGCCCAGTTCCCTTTGAAATAAATAGCATTCACCAGCACAAGCTTGGTCGAGTTATCAACTGAGCCTTCAGACAGCAGATCAGGGATTTTACCTTCAGAGGCAGCAGAACAAAAAAAAAGTGACAACAAAATCTTTTAATAAGTTGATGGTATATAAAAACATATATGAAAGAAATGATCCCATAGGAATACTACAAATATAAAACTCCAGTCCATTCTGTAATAACATATATTTCAGTACCTGTCTCTCTACTTCACCAGACTTTTTAACTTTTTAAATAGTTTTTTGATAAGTAATTTGATGAAAACATAATATTTTTAGCTTAAATTCTCGCATTTGACTCATCATACAGGAACTAGAAAACACCCACATTAAGGATTACTGAATTTAGAAGTTTGTATATACAGTATGTACTGAGACTGTCTAGAAAAAATTCTCCAGTTCATGAGTATAACTATGTTCAGGCATCTCTCCTGCACTCACAGCCTGAACACACAAAACAGGAAAACTCTCAGGAGTTATGGAACTGTTTAAATGTCTTGCTTAGGTAATTTCTGGTTTGGTCAATACAGCAAATTAATATACCAGAGCACAATTAAACTGTTCTAAATACAGCAGAGAATAAAGCCTGTTCCTCCTCCCAAAGTATGAAACACTGCCAGTTACTTTATTAACCAAAGTAGTTTACCTTCAGTTTTCTCCTCAACCCACTGGTTAATTTCTTTCCTGGCTTCATTGGAAGCCTGAAGAAAGTCAACTGTAGCCAAATCAGCTCCATATAATTTCCGTGTATTAGTCAGGAAATCCTAGATTTTGGAACAATAAGAATAGCTTTCACTGCATTCAGATAAGAAAACATATAATTATCAAGTAGATAAGGTGTACTCAAACAGATTGTCACCTGCTCTGAGGTGGGGCTCTAACAGTGCACTGCCTGGGGGGGGTTCTGAGGTTGGCAGGGTTTTTTCTGCTCTTAGAGTAAGCCTCATAGTACAGCAGCCACATCTATGGCTGATGGAGTTCTTACTGAAGGTGTTGCAGTATTTACCTGTCATTCTGCTGATACAGGGTCAAGCATAACTAGAAGTAGAAAAAACCTCTCTGAAATAGCTGAAGAGGAATAAATATAGCAACTTAGATGCACATAAAGTTATAATTTGCTAGTGAAGAGGCGTGTTTGCATGCCCTACCAAATAAAAAGTGTATAACTTAAATATTTAAATAATGTAGTACTAGGCCAATGAAAATCTTAAAAAGCTGATGCAACAGAAATAGAACTGTTTCCTAAAAAGCTAGTTGCAACAGAGCAGGATGTTATGATAGTTGCTGTAAACTAAAAACCTACACAAGTGATTTTTCTCTTGAGCAGCAGAAGTGAACACACAATGAAAAGGGTTTGCCGTGTAACATCCTTTAGGTGAGAGGCACAGATGCCTACAGCTATGAAAATGCATATGCAAGCAGCAATACTTTTGTCAGCTGCCCAGTAACATTTACAAATATGCCTGGAAATAGTTCTACTTCATAAATACTCAAATTGTTGCATTTTCCCACCAGGTTCCACCACGCTCCATCATGTTGTGCACCAGCATACCGGCAAAAAGCTGTAGGACTTTTCTCCAAAAAGCCGACTGGCAAGCCGTAAGAGATAGGGAGCATTGCTTCTGTTTATATCCATTGTCAGAGTCTGAAATTTTGAATGAATGTCTTCAACTTTGTCAAAATGAAGTGTCTGAAATAAAAGAAATTAACCAGCTGCTGTTAATACTGTTTTAAAAAAAAGAACATAGAGTGTATCTGTAGGGCAGGTCTGATCCAGAAGGTGGGTAGGTTGAAGAAAGGGAAAGGAAGAGGCCAGAAGCTGCTTAGACACCTGTAAACCTCAAAAAGTGAATCAGACTGTTTCTTGGTGCTACACTGCCCATGTCAGTCACTTGTGTTATGCTCCAGGTTTACACACAGTCACAGCTGAAGCTGTTGATAAGAACCCCAAGTCCTATCTGCATGATATCTGCGTGCTTCTCTGTGGACCACTGGGCCCAAGAACTCATTCCCAGGTGGGGAATTGAAAACAGAGATGGTGCCATGGAGACACTTTTGCTTTACTGGTTCCCCCCTTGGCCAAAGGAAACCTGGAGTTTTGCTTTTCAGAACATACTATCACCACTAGCACAGGTGAGGCCTTAAGAAAACTTGGAACAATTGTCTTCTATAATTTTGCAAAAATATAATTAAATAATAAATAAAAAATCAAATGCATTACTGAAATTTCCCTTTACCAGTACTTCCTTTTCCAGAGTCAAGCTGTCTGGCCAAGCTTACAGATATGACAGCGGAAGCTACCCGTCATGAGCAGGGAAGGTTAGACCAAAGTAGGGACGTTCACATTTTAACTTAAACCATGCATTTCGCAGTAGGAAGACTGCTATTGGATTCAAAGGAAAGACTTCACTTTCTCTCACTGGGTTTTTGGTCAGGCCCTGTTGTCCACCCTGTTGTGTTGCACAGATGAATGGCTGAGCAAACACATCATGTAGGCAACTTACAATAAAGATATGATCACAGAAACAAACTTCTGTATGCTTGCAAACAGCCCTCAACAGTTACTAATCACTGCCTCCTTAATTAGCACTGTGTTCATAAGTAAAGTATTATGGTACAGGAACATGCCCTACTGAGGG